AAAGTTCACTTTATGCCATTTTGCTTTCATGAAAGACATACATTAGCACCTGTTTTTGCTAATTGAAAGTTTCAAAGAGGGTTTTTGCTTTTATGAAAAGAGGCAACAACTACAACAACAAAAATAGTGTACTTCGTTTCTTTTGCACGGAGCCTTTGTAGAGGCAGTGCACTACCCCAGCCTCAAACCTCCTTCCCGGGAGGTACACTCAGCATCTCCGCATCTCAACAGTGGCTTTGACCTGCCTGTGAGCATCTGTGCTCTATCTCGATTCCATTAGCAAAATGCCTTCTAAGGGAATTGCTTCTTTGCTTTATGCTCTTTGGCTTATGAAAAATTACATGGAAATGCTTTATTCTTCCATGGGGGCGGGGCTGTAAAGAAAATTTCTGCCATCTTCCTATCTGCCTCAAAAGCAGGACGTCATTTCCTAAAGTTGTTGCCCCTCCCCTCCATCCAGAGAGAAGGTGACCACCTGAAACAGCTCCAGGTCCTTCTCAGTCCAGACTCACTACCAAGTGAGCCTAGATAACAAACCTTACCAGCTAGCAGCTATCTTCCAGCGGTTTAGCCCCGTATACTTACCTTCCTTCAAATTGACACACTAAAAACTGAGTTCTTTTCCTTTGTCTTGTCACTTCTCTGAAAATGTATTGTTCTTTTGTTAAGATGCTATATAAGCCCAAGCTCTAACCACCTCTTTGAGTTACTCCTCACTGGGTACTCCCATTTGTATATAAGATGCACATGTTTATCAAGTTTTGTTTGTTTTTCTCTTATTCTGTCTTTCTTAGTCTAAATTATGGGGTCCCAGTCAAGAACCCTGAGATGGGTCTAGGAAAAGAATTTTGCTTACATCACCATAGTATATTTGGTATCTAGCCCTGGAAACTATTTGTTGATCAAATGAATGAATCATTTTACTTTATGTAAGTGCGGTGCTTTATTTGCTACAAATTTACTTAACAAACTTATTTCTGTTACATAACATTCAAAGAGAAATGGTTAATGTCTTTCTTCCTCTCTCACACACACAGAGACATATATATTCTGCTTCAGCCTTTTTTTGAATACAAGTAGTATTTTATCAGGCTTCAGTCATTGTTCAAAAGTTACATGCTTCTGAAAGCAGCAAGCAGAGAAGATGATTAGTGCACCTTAACGTAAAATCAAATGAAATGTCAACGTGGTCCATATTTCAGCGCCTCAGGAGCATGTCCCACAGCAGCCAGCCTCAGGGCCCGCTCATAGCACTCCAGGGCTTTATTCATTTCTCCTTTCAATTTGTAGATGAACCCAAGGATGCTCAAGCTTTCCATGTCTTCTGCGTTTCTTTGAAGTTTCTTTAAAACCACTTTCTCTAAAGAACTGATACTTCTATCTCTCACAGATGATGGCTTTTCTATTTTTATTGCTTTTAAATAATAGATAATTGCATCGACTTCAGATTTCTTTTGAAATTCCTGAAATTGACCTTGCTGGAAATATATCTCTTGAATTTTTTCTTCTTCAAGTGATTTCATGCAGAACACTTTTTGATAAGTGTCTTCAGCTTTTCTGCTATTGCCTGCAACTGAATACATATCTGCTAGGTGCATATAAGCAATTTCAAATGTTGGCTTTTGTTCCACAGCAAATTCAAAATGAGATATGGCTAATCTTGTTATTCTGTCGATATTTTCTCTATCCCGTCCTGTAGGCTGCCAGTTTGTAGCTTTGCTTATTTTATAGACTTGTGATCTATAACAGAGCCCTATCTGGTGATGCACGAGGGCAGAGGAAGGTGTTGCCCGCAAGGCCATTTCTAAGAGCTGAAGAGCTTTATTTATAGAGCCTTTTTTTCGGTAAAACATGGCCGCATATCGAAAGACATAGGTCTGCGAAGACATTTTGGCCAGTGCTTCTTCAATGTACTTTTCTCCCTCAGCTTTTTGTCCTATATTCTGAAGTTTCATGGCGAGGAGACACTTAATATATGCATCTTCTGGATTTAGCCTGATGGCCCGTTTTAGGGGCTGCACACAAAATGCGTTACGAAAGCGTGATGTTGTGTTAAAGCCATCCAGACGATAGACAGCAATTGCATACCCAGTGCTGAATTCAGGGTTTTCGGGGTCCACTTTCAGAGCCTTCTCAAAGCAGGCTTTAGCCCGTTCATAATTCTTTCCTCATTCTGGCCATTCAGGTGTTTCACATAGGCCAGCAGGTTGTGGATTCCCACATTGAAGGTGCTGTCTAGGTACTCAATCTGATCGAGGACCCTGTTTTCTAAATCATGCAGTTCAGTGTCTTCAATGTGCAACTTCCATGTAAAGTGACATCTCAGTTGAACAAGTTTGTCCTTGATGAGATTGTCATTTAATTCATCACTATAAAAAGAGACAATAATTATATGTAGTTTTTCAGGAGCATTTGGAAGTGAAGCCAGAACTTTGAGTAGTCAAATATTACCCCCAAGTGTTCCTGATTCATTAGCAATAGAGCATCTCCCAGGGCTCTATGATTGTGTCACTGGGACAGAGAGCTGGTTGACATAAAAACCTTGGTAAAATGCTAATCACTTTATGGTTCCACCATGAAGAGTATGAGCAAGCAATCTGAAAGAGATTAGTTCTTCTCATGTCGAATGATTTCAGCACCACTCTCAATACTGCAAAGCCCTTCTCTCCTGACCTTTCTGAACATTGTAGTGCATCACTAATGCTGTCTGAAGAAATGTGGACAGAGGGTTCAAGGAAGGGTAATTCCATACTCATCTTTTCCATATTCCCTACATATAAACATGGTTTGGTTTTCTGACTTCCCAGGAAGGGTTCTGAGCAAAATATGGTATGAGAACCAAATATGGTTTCATGAATACTTAAACCGGGGTGGAGAATTGTGGTACTACCCTGACATCTATGCTTGAGTGAACTTACTCAACCAATTCCTGAAATACTGAAAAAGTGGTGGAACCGCTTCTCAATGATGAACTTACTGCACATGCACAGGTCAGAAGTAGGGGGATGAGTAAACAGTTGTGCCTATGCAAGGAAGCCGTAAGTCCCACTTCTGGAATTCAGTGAGCCTGCTGTCAGGTAACCCTGCAGCATAGTTATTAACAGGAACTCAAAATCTCAACAATTACGGTGAGCTTAGCTACCCATGGGAAAGGGAGAATAATAATGAGTCAGTGGGACAAGAAGTTTTCTTTCCATTATTCAAACCTCCTCTTATGTGCTGTGA